CTACATAATAAATAGTTAAAATCTTAAAGAAGAAAAAGACTGAGCTGTGGCTGGGAAGCTCAGTTGGTTAGTATTATACCAATTTGCCTAAAAGTTGTAGGTTTGATCCCCAGTCAGGGCACATACAAGAATCAAGCAATGAATAAGTCAATAAATGAGTTGAACAACAAATCAACACTTATCACTCTTTCTCTAAAATGAATAGATAAAAATTTTTAAACTGAAAAAAATCCAAAGATGCTGACATTTTTTAACATATTTCAATGTCAGAGATGTTAGAATGTAAAATAAAAATGCACAACTTAGCATCTATAAAATGAGATATATAGATTTAATGATCACAACATATTTAATAGTGGTAGTGCATATCTCAGAGTAAGAGGCTGATACACCCAGCACTGTCATTTTGGGATGGGTAATGTTCACTGGGCTGATTCAATGGAGGAGAAAAGTGGGGCTCAGAATCGATGCATCTCCAGATATTCACACAAATTACACCTATTTCTACAGGCACAGTTAAACATGTAAATGAAAATAAAAAGTGGCCCCCAGTGCACCCCAAGTCCACAACAGCCAGTCACCTTGAGAGCATAGGCTGGGTTTGAGCATTGAGATCTGCAGGTCATTTTCATCTTGTTTTAGCAACACATTTTGACCTTTGGCCAAAAAATGTGTTCACTTATTAACTGTCTAGAAATAAAATAACCCCGGTCAGGCGACTCGGTTGGTTGAAGTGTTGTTCCGTACACCAAAATATTACAGGTTCGATCCCTTGTGAGGGTGTGCAGGAGGCAACCCACCAATGTTTCTCTCTCTGAAATCAATAAAAATATGTCCTTGGGTGAATTTTAAAAGATGAAATAGGATAATTGTTTTTTTTGAAAAAAGGGATTTGGAGATGGTAAGTCCCCCTCTGAGAGGTGAGATGTGAATGGTCTTGCTGGGCCCAATTCCCAACACCTGGCACACAGCAGGCCCCTTTCTGATAGTACCAGACCAAGGTACCTGTGGATGCAGCCAGTGAGTAGTTGTGATTCAAAGCCAAGACTGGCTCTGGAGCCTGAACTTGGCTTTCTCAGCATCAGAAGACACTGTGTCCTTCCCAGTCTCACCACCAGGCAGGGGCCTGGGAATTGGCAGAGTGACAGCCCTTCCATGTTACCTTGGGTGTCCTCTGGAGAACTCTTTTCTGGGATAGAGGATCTGGGTCCATCCCAGGGATGGCCAGCCTGTCTTTTCTTACTATTCTAGAGGTTGTGGTTGCTATGGAAAAATACATTCCTCGCCCAAGGACCCAGACCACCAGTAATAAGAAAGTCAATGCTATCATTCACTTACCTTGACTGCTAGATAGAGAAGTGTAGTAGACTGTTCTGTGTGGTGTGGGCCCATCTCCCACTCGGAGATGCACAGGACCCATGCCCACGGATAGGTTCTCCCGTGGGGAATCAGGCCTGCAATGTACCTAGGCCTCTATGAATCTTGCTTTTAGCTAAAACTCCCTCACCCTGAATTGAGGACATTTACTGCCAAGCAACTTCCTAAAAACCATGCTAAACCTTCCAAGGATGAGTGTAACTGGTTCAACTACTTCTGCCTTTTCATTTGCAAATATCCCTCTTCTGTGATGTGACTAGCAGATTGGCTCCTCTGTTTCTGTAAAAAGTAACCACCTGAAGTCAATCTGTACATAGTAAATGAGGACCATCATGTAATGGGCAGAGGAAACCCAACAAAGGCCTGTCATGGCAGAGGCCGCGGCTTTTGCTCCCCTTGAGAGAAAAGCCATGCTGTCCCTTTTCCTCCACCAGACTCGGTAGTCTGTGTGAATGTCTCATTTCATCCATAATGATGTGGACACTGCGAGCCAGTGTCTGCATCAGAGAAGAGGAAGAGAGAGACATTGATTACTTGTTCCACTCATTCATGCATTCATTGGGTGATTCTTAGAAGTGTCCTGACCAGTGGGCTGACCTGCAACCCTGGCATACCAGGACAATGCTCTCACCCACTGAACCAAGAGGGTCCCAGTTTCAGGTCAGGTGGGTAAGTACATCATGCTCTATCTGCCCACTAGACCATTTTAGTAAATTCACAACTGTACACAAGTAGGAGCCAGTCTGACTGTTAATCCCACCAGGTCACACCCTTTTGTGATGTGCAGGAGCAGGCAAGGCCACAGGGCCTGGGGCAGGGGCTTCAGGGACCTCAATCAGCAGCTATTTACAAACGTTCACGGAAGCATCTCAATGAAGTAACAACCTGTACAAAAGTAGTAGTATTTCTTCTACTACTATCTCTCTATATTTTTTAAGTTACATGTAAAAGTATATAGATATAATTATTTTTTAAAGATTTTATTTTTCCTAGAGAGTGGGGAAGGTAGGTTGAAAGAGAGGGAGAGAAACATCAATGTGTGGTTGCCTCTCACATGCCCCCTAGTAAGGACCTGGCCTACAAACCAGGCATGTGTCCTGACTGAGAATTGAACCAGCAACCTTTTGGTTCACAGGCCAGTGCTCAATCCACTGAGCCACACTGGTCAGGGCTACACATACCTTTTAAAACACAAATGATACCCTTCTACAAAGACATGATGGTGGTTCCCTGTCTTTGGACACCTAAGAACTGGAGGCCAAGAAACATGGACTTTGACAAATCTACGGACAGTTTGCTCCCTGTAGGCTCAAGAGCAACCATCCCACATAGAAAAAAAAAAAGAGCAACAGTAACATGAAGAGATTTAACTTAATTTAAAAATAAATGGGCATAAACTCTCAGTTATGCAACATGAGTAAGTCGTAGAGATCTGCTGCTCTACAACACTGTCCTCTAATTAAGATCACCTTACTGTGCACTTGGCCAGGTGGCTCAGTTGGCTGGAGCATCCTCCTATATACCAAAATATTGCGGGACTAGATTCCCAGTCAGGACACATACCTAGGTTGTGGGTTCAATCCTGCGCTGGAGCATGTGCAAGACACAACTGATTGCCATTTGTCACATCAATTTCTTTCTATCTCCTCTCTCTCTCCTTTCTTCTCTATGGTGTCAGTCACAGGTATATCCTTGGGTGAGGATTTAGTTTAAAAAAAAAAAAAAAAGAGGGTAACCCTGACTGGTGAGGCTCAGTGGATTGAGTGCTGGCATGCAACCCCAAAGGTCACTGGTTCAACTCCCGGTCAGGGCACACATCTGGTTTGCTAGCCATGTCCCTGATTGGGCATGCCACAGGCAATTGATGTATTTTTCACACATCATTGATGTATCTTACACATCGTTGTTTCTTTCCCTTTCTCCCTTCCTTTCCTTCTAAAAATAAATGAAATCTTAAAAAAGGGGTAGACTTCAAGTGTTCTTGCCCACAAGAAAATAAAATACCATTTTAAAAACAAAATATTAAAAATGTAAGCTTTCTACTTTTCAGTGTTCTGCATCTCTTATGCTTTTGTATGCTACCATATAATAAATTACACTGGTTTTATTTCTTCTGCAAGAAATTAAAAACACAAATGACAGTGCATAGTAGATACTGTTGTGAATTGTTTTGTCATGTAATACTATATCTGAAAGCATATTCCATTATCGGTATCTTTAGTTCTCCCTCACCATTTCTTACCCAGACAGATCCTAATGTATTTATCCAAACTTCTAAGGACAGATCCTTGGGTGTTGTCAATGTTTCCTCTCTTCCAAGCACGGCTCCACTGAGCCCTGGGTTGAGAGGACACTTTCCTCTCCCCAGATATCTATACAGCGGTCTTCTTTGCTGACTGAGGCTGTGACACCATGTCCTGTGGTCCTCTGAGAGAGGGCCACCCCGAGTGGCAAAGCTGAAACAGCCACTCTCCTTCACTTTCTACCTCATCACCTGTGATCTCACTCAGAAATGAGCAGAGGGGGCTCTGTGAGACAAAGGGCTGTGGTTTGCTCACTGCTGGACTCCTAGTGCCTGGAAGGGAGGAGGTGCTCAGAAACTTGTTGACTAAATGATTCACTGTTAACCTGAAGCCACTCATCTCTTGAGATTCCTGCTTATCAGAGGATGCAGAAGTCCTAGATCTTCATGTATCAGGCATCCACTTTCTTATGTGTTCAAATAGCCTCTCCCCTACCATGTAGCCACTGGCCCCCATGTGGACAGCACATGCAGCTTTCTGCATAAGTGCTGGGGGCAACACTGCAGAACCATATCTAAATTAGCTTAGGAAACCCACCTAGTGCCATTGGGCAGTTTTCCTTAATCTCTTAGAGAGGAGGAAAGCAGGTCTAAGAAAATGACCACACTGATTGCAGCACACAGACCTGGGGTTTGAACCCATGAGACCTGGTACCAGAGTTCCTGCTCCCAACCCGTCCCAATCAATCACCTGCTTCTTCCTGACCTTGTGGGCACTGCTGGGCAATTCCCTTTCCTTCCATTCCCCACATCCTCATCTTCCTCCTGCACCTTCCCTTTCCTTTCATTCTTCCCCTTCCAAGCTCCTCCTCCATTTGTCCCACCTACCAGGTCTGAGGTAGGGTAGGCAGGCATGGCCACAGACAGTAATTTCCCCAGAACCCAATCAACAGTGGCTTCAGCACCCCCATACAGCATATCCTCTATTGAGTCTGCCTACCAGCCCCTGGATTCACTGGCCTGGGGAGGGGTTTATTTTACTGTGCAGAGAATTACAGCTCTGAGCCTTGGTTTCCTCAGAAGAAAACCCAGCATAATATGGCTCTAAGCCATAATTACCAATTTATTAATGAACACATTATTTTATAGTTAATAGAGCACCATTCCGCCCTGGGTGGTGTGGCTCAGTGGATGGAGTGCTGGCCTGTGAACCCAGAGGTCACTGGTTTGATTCCAGGTCAGGGCACATGCCTGGGTTGTGGGCCAGGTCCCTGGTTAGGGGCATAGAGGCAAAAGATCAATGTTTTTTTCCTTCTCTTTCTCCCTCCCTTCCCCTCTAAGAATAAAATCCTAAAAAAAAATAGAGCACCACTCTTGGGGATAAAAAATATCATTTGCTATTTATTATTTGTAATAGATCCCTATTATCAATAATGAAATTGTAAGTACACCATGACTAAGGCTGTGGATGACCCATAAATTGGATAATGCCCCTGCCTGACTGAAGGCACTTTTCAGAATTCCTGCCAGCCCAGGGGGGTGGAGCCCCCCCTGCATCTCCTTGCTGAGGGTCTGGGCCTTGCCACCTGGTCTGACCATTCCCAAGCCAGGAATCCAGGGCTGGCAGGGGCAGGTAGCCTCATACTTGGAAAGGGATTGCTGAGTTCCTGGGGTTCCTATGGGGTATTTCTGCCTCCTCCACCAAAGCTTTGACACACAAATGTATGGGAAAGCGGGTAACTATCTTTTGCACCTGACAACTATTTAAATGACATTGGCCTCCTTTAATTAAAACTGTTATTTTAAAAATATTTAACAAACTGAGAAACTTTGGCACCTGAAGCTATTACGATTAACCCAATAACGATAAAAAAATTTTTTTTCCACTCACAAACCACCTGGAAACATCTACTGTTACAGGGAAACTGGGAGCCGAGTGTAAGGAAAACAAGGAAACCCAAGGGTGGCAACAACCTGACCCCTGGACTAAATCCAGGTGTGTGTGACAAAGTGAGAATGTCCCCATGGAGTCCTCCCCTTTACTGTCCAGGAGATGAAGACCCAGAGACACAACTCATGTACATGGCGTAGCCTGTCCCCAGCATCCATATTCCAAAACCCATCCAGGCAAGACTTGTCTTGAGTCCTATCCATGGGCTCCAATGTCATTTCTGGCACTGGCGCTTGAGCTCAGAACCAGTTTATCAGACGTGGATTCAGATTTATTGTGCCCCTTGCTATGTGTGCATCTTCCTTTAGTGTTGTTTAAGGTGGATGTTCTGGCAGAAGGTTTTCCCACACTTGCCACACTTGTAGGGCTTCTCTTATGCCTGGATCCTCTGGTGGAGGGTGAGCAAGAAGTTCCTGACAAAAACCTCGTCCCACTGGCTGCACCTGTAGGGTTTCTTGGCGGTGTGGATGTGCTGGTGCTTGATGAGGTAGACACCTGGGCTGAAGGCCTTGTAGCATTGGCCACACTATAGGGCTTCTTGCTGTTGTGGCTAACATGGTCCATCACCACGGGCGAACACCTCGTCAAGTGCATCTGGCAGATGGAGACCTCAGAGGCCTTCTCCCTGGTATGAGTCCCCTGGTGCACGAGGAGGTGTTTATTCTGGCTGAAGGCCTTGCCACAGTCCTCACATGTGTACGGCTTCTCCCCAGTGTGTGTCCTCTGGTGTAGGATGAGGGTCCATTTCTGTCCAAAGGCCTTTCCGCAATCCCTGCACGTGAATGGCCTCTCCCCAGTGTGTGTCCTCTGGTGTGCAATAAGGTACTCATTCCGGCTGAAGGCCTTACCGCAGTCCCCGCACCTGTACGGCTTCTCCCCAGTGTGCGTCCTTTGATGCACGATGAGGCTCCTGTTCTGGCTGAAGGCTTTGCCACAGGCACTGCACACATAGGGCTTCTCCCCAGTGTGTGTCCTCTGGTGTAGGATGAGGTGCCTGTTCTGGCTGAAGGCTTTTCCACAATCTTCACAAGTAAAAGGCTTCTCCCCAGTGTGCGTTCTCTGGTGCAGGATGAGGTACTCGTTCCGGCTAAAGTCTTTGCCGCAGTCCCTGCATAGGTGCGGCTTTTCCCCAGTGTGTGTCCTCTGATGCACTAATAGGCTCCTGTTCTGGCTGAAGGCCTTGCCACAGTCACCACACACGTAAGGCTTCTCTCCGGTGTGCGTCCTCTGGTGCAGGATGAGGTTCCATTTCTGGCTGAACGCCTTTCCGCAGTCCCCACAGGTGTAAGGCTTCTCCCCAGTGTGCGTTCTCTGGTGCAGGATAAGGCCCCTGTTCTCACTGAAGGACTTTCCGCAATCCCAGCACATGTACGGCTTCTCCCCGGTGTGTGTGTTGTGGTGTAGGATGAGGTGCTTGTTCTGGCTGAAGGCCTTGCCGCATTCCCTGCATGAGTATGGCTTCTCCCCAGTGTGTATGCGCTGATGGATGGTGAGGCACCACTGGAGGGTAAACTGCTTCCCACATGTGGTGCATGAAAAGGGCTTCTCCCCGGTGTGGACTCGCTGATGCTTCCTCAAGGATGAGTTATAGCTGAAAGCCTTGCCACAGAACCTGCACTCATAGGGCTTCTTCCCAGCATGGAGTTTGGAGGAAGGACAGAGGCTTGAAGTACCTGAGTTTTTCCCACACACTGGGAATGGGCGAGTCCCTGATCCTCTTGGTCCTTCTGATCTTGGAGGGGCTGGAATTGGGCTTTGGTAAACAAATGACTTAAATTTACGACATTCAGGGGCTAATGCTTGGGACATGTTCAAGTGCTTCAGACAGGACCCGGGGCTCCTCTGTCGTTGCCCCACTAGGTCACCCTGTGCTTCTACTCCTTCACAGGCACAACTTTGGGAAGCATTCTTCGTGGGTCCTTCCGCCACCATTGCAATGGGTGGTCTGTTTTCTGAGATGTTGTCCTGTGGGTCGGTATCTTTCATGACAGGTCTCTTCTCCAAGTCTGAGGGGAGGGGGAGAGATGACAACACACATGTAGTTAACCACGCTGGGAGAGAGGAAGTTCCTAAGATATGACAAAGCACAGCCTGAAAGCAGAGGACAGCCTGTCATGGGGACAGTTAGAGATGGGTAGCAGCGACCCGAGACAGTGAGGTTTAGGGAGGTGAGTAGAGAAACTCCCCTTGAAAGTGGGTGTAAAGGCAGCCAGCAGAGACCAGACCTGGGCAGATAGGGCCCTGGAGAGAAAGAGGAGGAACGCAGGCTTGGAGAAGGGGATCCAAGGCTCCCACAAACCCAGTGATTGTTCACTGCACCCAGATCCTCACTTCCAGGCCTCAAAATGCACACCCTAAGCCAGCTGTCCATTATAAGCAATGACTTTTATTACAAACGATAAAGTGAAAGCTGACTCTTATGTGGATGTGCTGCTTGCCTGGTCTCCCCACCAGACAGCCAAGCTCCCTATGATGCACAGTAACAGCCCAGTACTGGCAGTTGGCTCCAGACTACTCCTCTTTGCACACTCGTCCCTCTCTGCTGACCACAGCCACTCTAATCCCTCCTGAGTATCTCCTGTGGGTTCCTCAATCTCTGTTTCTGGTCTGGGGGGCTGTCCTGAGTTCCAGACTCTGCACATGGACCTTAGGGTTCATGCCAACATTAAAAACTGTGAGATCTTACACAAAAATCTCATTAAAAAAGTGAAGTTCTGGCCACATGGAGCCCTCCTTCCTCACAGGTAACAAAGAAAGTGGGAGTGGTAAGAAGCTGTCCCTCTTCCTCCATTTAAGCCCCCACTGGCCCCACAACCCACCCATGAGTTTGAGACCCCTCTCGAATCACGGAAGCCCAGATTTCAGTCTCTTGTCTACGCTGACACCTCCTGAACGGAACAAGGGCATTTCCCTTTATTTTTCTTCCTATGAAAAGGTCTGCATACTTATAGGGAAATATTTAAAGGATATATTCCAGAAATGGAATCATATGAAATTTGGTTGATAATGCCAAACTATATTCCAAGAGTTGTCCCAACTTTAAGCTCCTAAAATGAAACATTCCTTTGTCTACATCTTTGATACAGGATGATGTTATATATACATATTTTAAATGTCTCATGCGAGAGAGTGGGAGGGAAAAGGGTGGAGGGAAAGAGGGAGTGACAGGGAGAAAGAGAGAAACACTGATAGAGCGAAAAATCAATTGACTGATTCCCCTATGTGCCCCAACTGGGGATCAAACTTGCAACCAGCTAGTGCCCTGACAAGTGTTCTTTTTCATACCTGTGTACCTCGTGGGCAACACCTGTTATTTCTGTGAATCAAATGGGTACTTCTTTAACCATTCGTAAGGCTTATAAATCTATTGTAAAGATAACTCCATGTATTACTACATCTGTGAATTGCACTGATAAGTAGGGTCCATTTCTCTATCATTCATTTGGTCTTTTTCTCATTTATTCCTAAGAGCTCTTTATACATTTATAATCCTCTGTTATATATGAGGTAAATACTCTTACCTACTTCATCACCTATCAAGTTCATTTTTAGCTTTGAGTAATTTGAACATCCTACATATCAGATCTGTCCATCTATTTTATTTCTTTGTTATCCCGAAGTGACAGGTGGATGGTAAATAACGAGGCAAAGCTGCCCCCTTACCCAGTGAGACCAGGTTCCAGTAGTTCTCCATCATCACGTCCCTGTACAGGTCCTTCTGTGCAGGCTTTAGCTGTTGCCACTCCTCCTGGGTGAAGTCCACAATCACATCCCTGAACGCCACCAAACCCTGTAAGAGGAAGTGCACACCATTCACTGCAGGGCCCTCCTCACAGAGGTTGGGAGGTGTGGCTAGAAGGGCCAAGAAAATCAGGGAAGGCACACAGGATGCATCTGATCTAGTGTCAACAAGGTGCAGAGCTCTGAAGGGCCTGACCACTCAGAGTCCTTGGTGCCTCAGTTCACTGTGATGGTCCTCAGAGGGACAAATAAACTATGGGGCTGTTCACCAGGAAGACAAACAATCAAATTAAAAAACGGGCAAAGGACTTGAATAGATACTTCTCCAAAGAGGACATACAGATGGCCAACAAACATATGAATATCACTAATCATCAGAGAACTACAAATTAAAATGGGGGCAGGTGGGTCAAGACCTGAGGCGTAAATGGCAGACTAAATACTGAGGACTCAGACACCATGATCCTGTGCATGAAGTGAACATGGCTGGGCATGAGATGGACGATGAGATGATATGATAACAATGTTGTCACCACAGCAGTGATGAAACCTGTCACTCACTAGGTGGTTCCTCTGTGCCAGGTTTTAGTCTAACTCATGTAACCGGTTTGGTTTCATGTTGAGTTCCTGTGTTGTAGTGTTAACCTCCAGCTCCTCGGGATGGGACTTGATTTGGAAACAGGGTCATTCACTACTGGTTTACTGAGTTAAGATGAGGTCACACTGGAGAATCGAGACCACCTAGACAATAGGACATCAGTCCTTATAAAAAGAAGAAATTTGGACACACAGACATGCACACAGGGAGGTGCCACATAAGGATGGGGGATATGGTGCCACAAGCCATAGGACCTTCAGAAGTTGGGAGAGACGCTGAGAACCTTTCCTGACCTTCACAGGGCACGGTGTCCTGCTGACACCTTGATCTCAGACTTCCTGGCCCCAGAACTGTGGGAAAATAGATTCCTGTCTGTGGTGCCCTGTTATGGCAGCCCCAAGGCCTGATCAGAGTAACTTATCTGTCGTGGGCCTTGAACCACAGCTCACACTTCCCTAGAGGACACACCTGCTGGTCAATCCTGTGTTGGGAGTGCCCACCAGGGACTCTGGGCTCACCTTGGCCTCCTCTGTCTTGGGGTCATCATCACGTGATGAGAGAGCAGTACAGGGCAGTCAGTGGTTAACAATCTGGGCTTGGGAGCCTGCCAGGAAATCGTGGCTCTACACCCTACCCCCTTGGCTGCGTTTCCTGGGACAAGTCTTAATCTTTTTGAGCTTCTTTGTTCAATGGACTTCCTAGTAATAATACCCCTCTCTGTAGCTCTTAGAAGGTTTAATGAGGTCATTCACATGTGATTCCACACCATGTCATGGTTACAGGAAGCTCTGGGAAATGGCAACTACTGTTGTTATCATTTGATTAACTGAGCATTGCATATATTTCTTCTATGTTTCTCATCATTAATAAATATTTTATATTATTATTTGGTTCTTTGACCCATTCATACTTTGGGAAAACCCAGGGAGTAATTTATTTTCAATAGTTTTCCAAATATATGTTTATTGATTTAAGAGAAAGAAACAGGGACAGAAATAAACACTGATGTAACAGAAACATCAATCAACTGCCTCTGGAACAATCCCTGAGCCAGGAATCGAACCCTCAACTTTTTGGTGTACAGGATGATGTTTCAATCGAGCCTCCCACCAGGGCAATTTCTTTTTTTAAAATACCACTTTATTGAAGTATGATTGGTATATTAAAAGTTGCATGTATACTTCTTGATAAATATGGAAGTACAAACCTTTGGAACCAACACCATTGAGGCCAAAAACACATCCACCACCTCCTAAAGGTTCCTTCTGCCCCTTTTATTTTTGTACTTATTTCATATTAGTTGTTAAAATATAACTCCTGCTGAAAATCTACCCTATGTGTGCCCCACCTGAATGACATCACTAAATGACATTTTTACTGAGTAGGCTCCATGCAGCAAGCCCGGCCGGGGCCTGGCTGAGAACCAGAGACAGTCCTAGGTGTCTGAGAGCCTACATGGAACAGAAATGGTGTGGGAGGCAAGACACAGAAGAGACCTTCATCAGAAGGCTTGGGAGATTCCCCTGGAAATGGGGTTTCCCTCTTAGTGCTCCAAAGCCCTCTGAGTAGTCTGCATGCATGTAACTGAGGCCACTCATTCTAGGGCTCCCTCTGTTTTAGACTTTTGTCTAATGGTACAAACCACTCGCCTCAAGGAAAACATCACCCAGTTCCAATGAGTTGAAATAAGGATCTATACTTTTTTAATCCTTACCCAAGAATATATTTACTGATTTTAGAGGGAGAGTAAGGCAGGGTCAGAGAGAAAGGCAGAGGGACAGAGACAGACAACCATTGATCTGACTGCCTCATGAGCATGCCCCACTGGGAATGGAAACTGCAACCTTCCAGAGTACTGGACAAGGCTCTAACCAATTCAGCCACCTGGCCAGGGCAGGCTCTATTTTTAGAAAAATCAGAATGTAATTACACTAAAAGAGATTAAGAAAAAAAACTGAAGCCCCAAATCCCAGCCACATGGAAATGACAACCATTGGGAAATCCTAAACAAAGTTGGTAAAAGAGGAAACCAAGGCAACAATTACAGAGAAGGTCAAAGTGGAAACGGTTAAATATATTGTTAACAAAGGACCCATAGTTTCCTCTCCTACACTCAAAAGAAATGAGATCTAACAGAAAACTGTACATGAATGTTCACAGCATTACTAATCACTGAAATGTAGAAACAACCCAAATATGTACAACCTGAAAAATGCATAAACATGTGATTTACCTGTACAGTGGAATAGTACAGAGTTAT